TTTTTTCTACTTTTGGCTCAATTCCCACCCTTAATATTTAAAACATGAATATGTGCCCACCCTTGACCAATTAAAAATGCATTATTTAAAATATTTTTAAAAAATTCAATCAACCAATTAATTATTAATATAACTAATAGATTGAAAAATCTTAAAATCAGAATATGGGGTACACCTGAGTGTAAAATCCATACAATCCTTAATCAGATCTGGTCTTCAGAACTAATTTTCATCAATGTCACCTGAAGTAGTATGCCGCTAAATCATCAAAGTCATACCATTATGCAACCCGGAAACCGTCTATTTGTTGCAGATTTAATTTGAAATCAGAAAGTTGAGCTGAAATGAGAAATCTCCCTTGTCAACTTATATTGCAGTTTCTTTGGAATAAAATTGAATTCATTAATAATGCCTAAGCTAAAACAGTTTATTCAAGAGAGACACGTCATGGCCAACACTCTCTAAAACTTATATATTATCCGAAAAAAAACAAATTGAAATTCACGTAAGCTTTGGCATCAATATTATACGTGAATGCATTCCACGTGTCTAAATTCCAAAATCTCAAAATCCAACGAACTGGAGCTTTCTGAACTGTGTGTGTTTAGTGGATCTATTTTTGTCATTTATTCGAACCTATAAGAATGCGGTAGTGCGTTAAAGGAAAAGATTTACCGAGGTCGTAAATTATATCGACTCAAACCAGCTCATTCAACTTAGCTTTGAAAATTTTTTGACCTACCGACAAACCTCCCTTTACTTAGAGTGAAAATCGACAGCATTTCTTTTTCTAATTCCAGAACTATCACTCTCTCTCCCCTTCTGAGATTATAAGATTAAATACAAATATTACTACTCGACTATATACTTTCAGCAATTCATAAGTGCAACCTAAGAAGCCAATCCAATAAAATTTATTGAATAAATTGTATGTAAATCAGAATTGGTAGAGCCTAAAAACGTATAAAATTTGGAGCTTTTATAATAGTAAATGAGCATTGGAATATTTTATTGATAAAATTCATTTCTTTATTTATTACATTAAATGACAGTCGTTTGATAATTATCATTAGCCATTTAGCTGACTTAGGGCTTCATAGACAGAAGGAGGAGCATCAAAGTAATAAAAATTCGAGGAGTGGGGAACAGAAGAGTGATTCACATGTGTAAAAGGGACAGACAGACTAAAAGGCAGAGAATAAAGAGAGGTGAGCACTGTGGAAGTTGTGGAAAATGATATAGAGTGGGGCCATTGTAGTTTGAGGTCAGAAGTCAACTGCCGGTTTATAGACTTTTTGCCTTATAAGTATACGTTGCCAAGGGTGCACCACGTGGAGGTAAGTCTATCGCACACCCCATGTTAATAAAATAAAAACTGAAATTTCAATTAGGGAAGTATTTATCAACTTAGGTTACGTAAGGGATGACCATTGCTCTGCTATTGTGGAAGGCCATCTAAAGCCCACTAGACATGTTTTGATTGTAATCAAATTTCTGACATCTGATCTGGAAAGAGCAAGCAATCAAGTGTGTGTTCATTTAATAACGAATTTCCAGCATTCAGGTCAACAAAAAATTGCAAATCCACGTATAGGTGAGAAAAAATGCTAAATTTTTATGATTCGATATTAGTATCGGTTATCTAAATAAACNGTGTTTTAAAGGTGAGGTGAGTACTGTGAAAATAGTCNCCCCCCCCATATTGTCTGGAGGCAACGGGTCGGAGGCAGAGTCGGAAGAAGTAGCCTAATGTTTGTTGTTTTATGTGTCTGATTATCGTATGAATGATATGAGGCGTGCGCCGACTGGCAGTAAATTTTGTTCAATAATGCTTTTATTTATGTTGATATGGCATCAAGAGGAGGGTTAATAAACAATAGGTGTCCCCCCCCCGCTCTATTGGCAGGAATGTGGTGTTGGTGTAATTGGGTGAGGCTTATTTGAGTGAGAAAAAATAGAAATGTGATTCAAGAATCATTAAGGCGTACCGTACAAGAGTAAGAAGAAATCACCTTGTTTGTTTTGGAATTTAGCTGAGTGCATCGCTTCCCCCTAATTTCTCTCTAGTGCGCTATAAGCTCACGGTGATCTGTTTGCCGGAGAGGTTCTTAGTTTGGTGAAGCTACTAGGAGGGACTACTTGGTGGTTTGCAGTTGCCAGATTTGCACTCCCATACCAATCATAGTATTTATTTATTTCAAATGGTAGGCGTTTTGATAGATATCATTAACCATTTAGCTGATTTCGGGCTTCACAGAGGGAAGGAACATCAAAGTAGCAGAAAGTTGAGGGGTGGGGAACAGAAGAGCGATTCACAGATGTAAAAGAGGCAGACAGACACAAAGGTAGAGAAAAAGGTAAGGTGAGTACTGTGAAAGGGGTCGACAATGACAACCAGGGGGGTCGTGGTAGTTTGAAGTCAGAAGTCAATTGCCAGTTAGTAGACTTTTTTGCCGTATGAGTATACGTTGCCCAGTGTGCACCACGTGGAGGTAAGTCTATCGCACACCCCATACCAATCATAGTAGTACTAGGCGTTCCTATTGGGTGGTACCTCTTCTTGGCTTGAAATATGTAAAGGCTATTATATTTAAAGAATTGCACTGTTTCTTATTTTATTCTCTTCATTCCCTCCAATCATAGGTGCTGACGGGAGTGAGCAGTTTCCTACAACGTCAACAATTTTCTCCTAAATCGATATTTCACTGAATATTTAAATTTGTGCTAACTCTACGTTTAGAAAATAACTTCCTGTAAAAAATAGTTGTCAGTGGTCGTTCCACCTTCAAATAAGCTTAAGAGTATGNGGGGGGGGGTGGTGGTCTTGGTGTCTTATAGTTTCGGATCGCTAGGCAATAATGACTACCTATTGTCCATATCAGTATCAGGAAAATTCGTTTCCGTTGGAGACTCTTCTCCAAAGGAAAATTTATGAGTTTTTTATGCACAGAAGTAAACAAACAAAAACGTGTATAGACATGGTCGAGAAAAAGTACCGGTCCTCTCATGAAGGGGGTAGTATCGGTAAAGTATTGGGAACTACTTATATAACCCAAGAAGACCCCCCAGTGAAAGCGCCTCTTCCAACACTTTAGGTTAACGAGACTGTGAGCTTTTATCATTTTAAGTCAAAAGAGGACAAAGGAGGTTCTTTTTGAAGAGGAGGGAGATTCACAGGTGCTGATGGATACCATGTGCGCAGAGGCATTAAAACAATTAATTGATCGTAGGTGGTTGAAAGGTGTGAGATCAAACTGTTTCAATGAATGGACATTGTTGTATTTTCTGTCATGAAATGTCGGAACGACTAGTAAGATCGGGATTATTTATGTGTGGAAACTTAAACTTTGAAAAAAATATTTAATCATAATTTATTTATTTATTTCAAATGGCAGGCGTTTTGATAGCTATCATTAGCCATTTAGCTGACTTCGAGCTTCACAGAGGGAAGGTTCATCAAAGTAGCAGAAAGTCAAGTGGTGGGGAACAGAAGAGCGATTCACAGATGTAAAAGAGGCAGACAGACACAAAGGTAGAGAAAAAGGTAAGGTGAGTACTGTGNTAGACTTTTTTGCCGTATGAGTATACGTTGCCCAGTGTGCACCACGTGGAGGTAAGTCTATCGCACACCCCATACCAATCATAGTAGTACTAGGCGTTCCTATTGGGTGGTACCTCTTCTTGGCTTGAAATATGTAAAGGCTATTATATTTAAAGAATTGCACTGTTTCTTATTTTATTCTCTTCATTCCCTCCAATCATAGGTGCTGACGGGAGTGAGCAGTTTCCTACAACGTCAACAATTTTCTCCTAAATCGATATTTCACTGAATATTTAAATTTGTGCTAACTCTACGTTTAGAAAATAACTTCCTGTAAAAAATAGTTGTCAGTGGTCGTTCCACCTTCAAATAAGCTTAAGAGTATGAGGCATTGGCAACTATGTGTATTCCCATTTTATGATCTAGAAGCGAGGGGGGTGATAGACTTACCTCCACGTGGGGCACCATGGGCAACGCATTCTCATATGGCAAAAAAGTCTATTAATCGGCCGTTGATTTCTCAGTTCAGTCCCCTTCTCCACTTTCTGTCACTTTGATGTTCCTCCTCCTCTTTGGGAGGCCCGAAGTCAGCTAAAGAGCTAATGATAACTAACAAAACGCCTGTCATTTGAAATAAATAAATGTTCTAGAAGTCCAAATCTGGTCATTGAAATATTTATTTATTTCAAATAGCAGGCGTTTTGTAGGCTATCATTAACCCTTTAGTTGACTTCGGACTTCACAGAGGGGAGGAACAACAAAGCGAGTAAAATTCGGGAGGGAGAAGAGAAGAGTGATTCACAGATGTAAAAGAGACAGACGCAAAGGGAGAGAAGAGGTAAGATGAGTACCGTGAAAGTGGTGGAATGTGACATACAGTGGGGTCATGGAAGTTTGAAGTGAACTGCCGGTTTTATTGACTTTTTCGCCGTATGAGTATACGTTGCATAGGGTGTACCACATGGAGGCAAATCTATCGTGCATCCTGAAGTTAGCGATTTAAAACAAGCCGTTCTAGAGTTTTCGAACCTGGCTAGTAGTTCCATTGGGCTCTCCACTGAATTCCCCAAACCTTGACGTATAACAACAGGCTTGGGTCGCCGAAGGTCACGATCAGGCCCACAGTAATTACAGGAAAAGTAGACGAAAACGAAACTGACTGCCTGCTACAAGTTACCGCGCTGTGGCGCGCAGCGGTAGGAGTAGGCAGCGGGCAAAATTGTCCATCGGCTGACTAATGCATCACCCCCCTCCCCACACTACCCTCCCTTCCCTCGAAAGTCTAATGTTTGCTTGTCACCTGATTGGCTGAGCATTTGTTTGACAATGTGCGGCATGATTGATTGCGCGCATCCATCACCCACCTCTACGTCTATTACCCTCGTGTCTTAGTACCATCGCTATCATAATTAACATTACCAGGGAAATTTATATAGAGATAACTGCTCCTTTTGGTTAGTATGCCATACCATCGGTGGGGTAGGGGCCAATGTACGGGTCCTATAATCAATGAGGGCACGATTGGCCGAACTATGAGTTCTTCAGGAAGTCACACTGTCGTTCAAGAAAAGAGTAAATAAAATTCTATTTCCAAACAGTGGCAGAACGGTACAAGCACACGTCTGCCGGATTGAAAGCCACGAAATAAACGCCCATCAATTTACAACAGGAGAGAGTTTGTGGACTAAGATGTATCCATAGAATCTGCTCTGTGATAACGCTTTATCCTATTTAAATTTCCTTAATGCTTTCGTTAATGGACTTGAAAAGTTCATCTACTTCGTATTACCTAATAATAGTAGCATCAGTTGGTCTAGGAGTAATGATTTCTGAAAATCAAAATTTCCACAGGTCGTTTTCTGCTTTAATCTTCTGTGTGTTTGAGATAAAAAGGTTTCGGTAATAACACATTACTTTCGGGTGTTAGCTAGTATTTGTTGTCAGAGGTGTTCACGGCTTTGATTACTTTTTTGGCAGTAGATTTGATCGGAGAGTGATGATGATGGCCGCTGTCTTTTTGTTTTATAAGGGAAAGTGGTGATAGGGGGTACTCAACTTCCCAAACACTCTTTGAAGCAGGTGTTTTTGCGGAATGAGGGTCTTCCATTCCACCGCTTTCTGCATTTGCTGGATTTAATCAGTGTTGTTCGGGCCACCATATTATTGAAAATGCTCAAATGCGGGTATCGAACTTGGTGAATATACAACATGAGATAATGTTTTATGCTAAATTTCATCTGGACGCAGAAGACAAACGCCATTGGTTCGTTACCCATCGGTGTATTAGTCTGGCGAATCGAAGTTGATGGAAGAATTCCAATTTCCTATCATTGAAGTTCTTTTCAGCCCTTCCTCTATCCAAGATGAGGGCTTTCTAAAGTGGATAGCTTGTGCTACTTTGCTAATTTAATGCATTTAAATCCGTAATTGAAATTTACTGGCCTACTTCAAAATAAGTACCCTTGGGTTTTTCTTAGCAACTTAGGAGAGCGGCATTTGCGTATGTGTACACAAACAAACACTTGATAGCATTTGTATGTGTATCAGCATGTGTTGTGTATCACATAATCCATTTTACCACAAGTAATCATCTCCTCCTCTCCTTGTCTCCTTTCACAGATTCCAGTTACCACGTTACGCTCTGCCGAGCTGGTTCTGCCTCAGATAATACTTCAGGAGGTTCCTGTATCCTTGGAAATCCTACAGTCACTACTTCTAGCTTTAATACTCTTGGTATTTCCTCTGGATCGAATCTACAATCTGGATCAGTGACAGGATCAGCAATTGTGATCAATCCAGCAACATCTCTTGTCTCTGCAAGTGGCAATACGAGTTGTAGTAATAGCTCAGTTCAATCCTCAAACTCCCGTCTGCAAGTTGGACTCCAAGCCTCTCTTCATGTTCAACAATGGCGTTTGTGTTTGATTGGTGAACCGTCGGCTGGATGTCAATTCATTGCCCAATGGAGGCTAGATGCACTAGATACTGCCTATACTATGGACAGTAGTAGCAGTAGTAACGCACAGAATACATTATCTGGAATGGGTATGGAGCAGGGACAAAATTTCTTGGGATCTACTCCACCTGGAACTCAAAGTGCAATTGGTGGTTTCGCCCCGGGAGTCACCCCTCATGAGGATAGGTTCTTTTTTGTGGCAAATCGTGCTGCTGGAAAAGGTGTGCTACTAATTCTATTTCAGTAGCTATAATTATAAATACCAGTATTTCTTTTCTGCAACAAAGCTAACACCATCTAAATAGGCTTAAGCGGGGAAAGCGAGCATATACGATAAAGGCATGTCCGTTAAGACGTAAGGTCGAGAACATTGCTATTACTACCAGCAGATATGTTAGCAAGTGGGTTTAGGAGACAATTGATGGAAGAGTGTGATGGCCAATGAGTTTCTGTTTCTAAACGCATTCGTTGAACATGTTGTGTAGGTCATTCTCTCATGTTAGCCTACTTTTACTATTATTTTTCATCAAAATGTTATTCTAGTGGTTGAAGATCAGTTCAGGTATAACAATTACTTGACGGCGATTACTAAGGCAATGCAGGCTATTGACTATGTATGATTGTACGATTGTAGGTCTCATGGGGAACTACGTCTTTCAAGTTGATGGTCGACGACTGGACCAATTATCCCTCGCAATCGACGAATTAATGCTCCGACGCATTCCTGCACTAACAGCCCCTCCTGGTACCCGCGTTCTTCCCAGTACCACTAATTCTGAAGACTCTCACACTGATTCCCTCCATCTTTGCAAATCTGCCGCAATCGATATTCGAGGAGGTCCAGGAAAGATGGGAGGCCTCCCCTTCTCACAGGCTGCCTCCTCATCCTCCCTGTCCCCTCCTGGTACTGGTGGAGGGTCAGTTTTCGGGGGTTCAGCCTCCCCTCAAGGACTTTCTGGACTCCCCGGGTCGACAGCGTCGGCTTTCGCACCCTCCAGTCTTCCCACGCGTGGAGGTCACATAATCACAGGTCCTGCTTCTGGTCTGGAGGATCTCCAACAACAAAGCTCCCAGCAACAGCATTCTTCCTCCGCATCCTCATCTTCACGGTCTAAGAAGTCCACTCATCATCGACAACTATTTGGAGGTACTTACTGAAATTCCTATTTGCTTACTATAACTGAGGTATTTCGAGCTTTTATTCAATCTATGAAAAATGATTCAACGGAATTTTAAATTGCCCAATCGCTGTTGTTTCGTGGATCTTTCGATTCAACCGCTTGAAACACCTTTTTAAATTACCTAACTCGAAATTTATATTTGTTATGAAGGTAATGCAAAGGCAAGTATGCTCATTTTATTTCCTTCGTAAAAATTACATGACATCTATATGAATTTGTCTCTAAAGCCTCTGTTTTCCAAACAACAGCAAAATTAAAACATCAATGATAGTATGAATAGTCATTATTGATTATTTTTTTCCTCATATTACCCACTACCGTGTATTAAACTCACCTTTTCTGGCTATCCTTACCAGCACAAACCCTGGGGCGTTCGGACGCGATTAAGATCCCAACTCGAAGGTTTACAACAGCCCTATGGAAAATGACTGGAGAGGGTTGTGGCTCTTCGCGCGGTCGATCATCTTCCAAGGCAGGTTCTGGAGATGGGAGTGCAGAAGGTGGCAGCTCTTCTGATACTTCCACGCAAATGAAACCCCAGCCCTCTCTCTATTTTCCTTCCGTTATGGTTGGTGCTGGAATCATAACATCACTTGTTCCCGCTCCCCCTCCTCAACTCCAATCCTCCGTCCGTTCCTCGGATGGTGTCTTTGGACAGGTTTGTCAAACGACCGCTCCTCCCCCAAGGTCGAAGGTCAGGCCTGAACAACTTCCCCCAACCCCACTTCAAACCTCATCTCTGACGCCTCTACCACCACCGCCTCCACCTCCCTCTTGCCTGGTCTGCGATCGATGTCAACGGAGATCACAACGAAGAGAGGGCGTTGGCGGGCATCAAAAAACACCCTCATCGATCTCCTCCGAGGAGTTTGTCGGTTTGGGCAGTGCTGCTATGGATATCTTTGCTGCGGATGAAGATGCTGACCAGTCCTCCACATCACCACCTCCAGTACAAAGGGAACGAATTCCCCCTTCTCCTCCCGAATTCTATGCATTATGTGAGTTTCTCGAGTTCGCCTCCATTTGACCTAATTGGTCAGTTAAAACTAAGTTGCATTGCACTCTTATTGAGTCTAGTTGATCAGTAAGTAGTATCTGAGATACTATTTTTGCGGGAGCATAGGCGAGTGTGCACAGGAGCTTCGTACAAAACCACACTCGTCTGGATTTTGATCACATATATTTATTTGGTTTTTTTCAATTTAATTAGATCGAGTCAATCATACTCATAACGCCGCAGTGCCTTAAGGGAGATTTATTACGCGAGTCGACACTTAGAGCCCTGAATGGGTGGGGGGGGGGGGGGGGGGGGGGGGGGGGGTTTTTNGGGGGGGCGGGTTGGGGGAGGATTTCTAAATTGGTATTTAGCCCTAGTCGTTGTTTGAATTCCTTCGGGTTATCTGCAAAGACAAGTTAGTAAAAATTTAAGTAAATGCTGCTGTTTCAAGCGCGAAATCTTTCACCTACTTCATAACCAAATTCGGCATTTTCTGACTGAAGAAAAATGCTAATTGAATAAGTTTGAATGCCTGAGTTTTGTTGCCTTTCGGGTTACAGAGCTGATATTCGGTATACAGGTCAAAAAGTTCATTTAAATTTGCATGATGATCAGTTCTAAACTTTAATGCCTTACAATGGGGTTGCGATTGAACGTGGATAACATCGTGGGTTACTTATTTCTGCGTGTTTCTCATTCCAATGGGAATGGCACAGTCAGTTTCATTAAAACGGTTTACCTTTTTTGGATTGACTGACGGCACATATCTTCTATTTCTTTATTGTTTTCCTCGATCACTGAAAACGTTCCGTTTTCCCATCGTTTCAGGCAAACTCCTCTTCCGAACTGTGCATCCCTTCCACAAAAACCGTCGGCTCTTCCGAAGTGGCTCCCTCGACATCTGTGCAGCGCGTCGTCGAAAATTATTCAGAGAGAGGGTCTTTGAAGCTCTTGGTGGTGGTGAAGGTAGCACTCTGGATCGAATTCTTCTCAAAGTTGCTCCTCTTCATGCCCAGTCGAAATCCTGTGTATTCCTCCTTGTCTTCTCCCCACCCTTGAAATCTCCTTCAATGGATGAAATGGATTACCGATGGTATCTTGTTCATCGACCTGGTAACTGCTGTCCACGATGCTGTTTATGGAATACTCCCATTCTTCTGTCTGAACTCAACCTTAAGGATGTGGTTACTAATCAGAATAGAATTCTAATGCTTGATAAGAAGGAGCTGAGTGCAACGACGGATCTGGAAAGACAGATTCCTTGTGGCGGTGTTCCTTGCTTATCTACCTCTGGATTCTTTGTTTGGAGATTTTCTGAAATGGTAAACCTTCTAACATGACATTTATTTATATCGAATGGCAGGCGTTTCGATAGTTATCATTAACCCCCTAATTGACTTCGGGCTTCACATCGAGGAAGGAACATCAAAGTGAGAAAAATTGAGAAGGGGGGGGGGGTGAATAGAAGAGTGTTTCAAAGATGTAAAAGAGACAAACATAAATGTAGAAAAAGGTGATGTGAGCATTGTGGAAGTAGTCGAATATGACATACAGTGGA